GTCCCTGAACAGCTGACTGATTGCTCCGTTGAGGCGCGACTCCCTGATCGAGGAGGCCATGGCTCGAGGAGGCAAGGAGTGAGGCTTGGCCTTGCCCGCTTCCCTCCTGAAGGCGCTGCCGAAGGCCGGAGGGTGGAAGAGCGTCATCGCTTCACCTCGGTCATGAAAGGAAGCGACTCCTTAGCCTAGCTTAATGCCTTGTTTACTCTTGTAACTTAGATCTTGTGAAGTTCATTTGGATTTACCGTCCGTTGGCGCTGTTGCCTCGTAGGTGTGAGTTCCATATTTTTCTTTACTGCCATTTTCCCTGGACGAAGAGGAATATGCCGGCGAGAGTACTTCTCTTTGTCCGCCCACTTCCCTGCTCCAGTTTGCACGCTGGCGGTTTAATTATCACGTCCACGCCCACGAATTCAACATCCATCAATTTTAATTTCTTTTATACAAAGCATCCTTTCAACCGACCTGATTTCGCACAACGGTGACTCGCCCTTTCCCGAACAGACACGAAAGAAGGGCAGGTCGCGCTCGGCGAGGCTCCTTTGTCGCGTGGTCCCGTTTCCCGTTGTGCGCCGCGCCCGTGGGCGCGTTATTCTGTGGGGAAAGGGTGCTGGTTGTCAGTCATTACCGAGGCTTTGGTATTGGCATTGGCATTGCATAATAGAGAGATTTCCCTCGCATGGAAGCAACTCAATTAAAGGACATTAATAGATTGTCATATAAAATCATACATACAATAGATGTATGTTTGTACAATGTATTAACAATGTATATCATCACCTAGTACAACCTGACGTGATAGCATCCCAACATACATACACACATACACGCAAGGCGCGACTCCCTGATCGAGGAGGCCATGGCTCGAGGAGGCAAGGAGTGAGGCTTGGCCTTGCCCGCTTCCCTCCTGAAGGCGCTGCCGAAGGCCGGAGGGTGGAAGAGCGTCATCGCTTCACCTCGGTCATGAAAGGAAGCGACTCCTTAGCCTAGCTTAATGCCTTGTTTACTCTTGTAACTTAGATCTTGTGAAGTTCATTTGGATTTACCGTCCGTTGGCGCTGTTGCCTCGTAGGTGTGAGTTCCATATTTTTCTTTACTGCCATTTTCCCTGGACGAAGAGGAATATGCCGGCGAGAGTACTTCTCTTTGTCCGCCCACTTCCCTGCTCCAGTTTGCACGCTGGCGGTTTAATTATCACGTCCACGCCCACGAATTCAACATCCATCAATTTTAATTTCTTTTATACAAAGCATCCTTTCAACCGACCTGATTTCGCACAACGGTGACTCGCCCTTTCCCGAACAGACACGAAAGAAGGGCAGGTCGCGCTCGGCGAGGCTCCTTTGTCGCGTGGTCCCCGTTTCCCGTTGTGCGCCGCGCCCGTGGGCGGCGTTTATTCTGTGGGGAAAGGGTGCTGGTGGCAGTCATTACCGAGGCTTTGGTATTGGCATTGGCATTGGCATAATAGAGAGATTTCCCTCGCATGGAAGCAACTCACTTAAGCATTAATAGATTGTCATATAAAATCATACATACAATAGATGTATGTTGTACAATGTATTAACAATGTATATCATCACCTAGTACAACCTTACGTGATGCATCCCAACATACATACACACATACACGCGCAAATAACTGTAATTATTCTCATTGACATCTAATTTGCATGATATGCCGAGGGTCGTTTCCTCCCAAGATGACGCAACGACCCACCAGCGTATCAAACGACCTCGTGTTAGATTACGGACGCCGCCGATATTGTTCTCTTCGTTAGGACTATTGGCACACGCGGCGCGGAAACCTTGTCACTCGCCCGCAGTCGCCGTTGATGCCTTTCAAGGAATGCCAGAGCAGTGCCATCTTCTGGCGCCGCATACTCCTCCCGTTTTTCAATCGATCAATGCTTCCACTCGTTGCTGCTGGCGCTGTGGCTTTCCCATGACCCGCGTCCGTCGGCAGAACACGGCACGCCCTCCGGACCGGCGTCGGCTTAGAGAATGGTCATCCCGGGGCCTGCTGGGGTCGACCCCTCATTCTCTCGCGGCAGTCACGGGCGCAGGGACGTGTAACGGTACCTTTTTTAATTGCCTCAATTGGTGTTGTGTGATGATGCGTCATTTCTGGTGGTCATTTATTTATTTGCAGTTTGTGCTCTTTGAACAAAGGTTGCCTCTCTCTCTCTCTCTCTCTCTCTCTCTCTCTCTCTCTCTCTCTCTCTCTCTCTCTCTCTCTCTCTCTCTCTCTCTCTCTCTCTCTCTCTCTCTCTCTCTCTGTTATATTATTCTCCCTTTGCCTCATTCCTTTCCCCGCGTTTCCAGAGTACGCATTCGAGAGTTCCAGAGGACCCTCCTTTATCTTACTGATCAAATCCGGCAAATCGGAGCCCTTGGCACCTCCTCCAGCATGTGTTTACTTGTCATATATCCAGGTCGCGTTCCGTTGGCCTCTTTTTCTAATTACCCTCCTTACATAACACTTAATTAGATCCGCCTGGCGTAAGAGGCGAGGCACAAGAGAGACAGCCAGGCAAGGTCACGGCCATCCTTCGCCCTTCGCTTCCCCGATGCTTCGCGAAAGGTTTTTGGGCGTTGAGAAAACACCAGTCGGCGAGGAGAGGTTGTTGATAGGATGCCGTTATCTTATATACCTCTGGCACTTTAGCTTATTTTGTTGTCTTTATGTTGTTTTATTTTGTGGCGAGGTCATTATTGCTTGAATAGATGAGGTTTTTTGACTTTTGAAGAATGCTGGAGTTGAAGGAATCTCAGGGAACCGAAAGCCAAAAGGCGTTTTCTTTTTGACTTTCCTCGACCTTCGTGGATGCGCGTTCACGTCCTTCCTGTCTGTTCTTCCACATTCAATATTTCTTGTAAGCTCTCCTTACTTGGTCATGCCCCACCCGTCTCTACGTCTCTCTCTCTCTCTCTCTCTCTCTCTCTCTCTCTCTCTCTCTCTCTCTCTCTCTCTCTCTCTCTCTCTCTCTCTCTCTCTCTCTCTCTCTCTCTCAATCACTCTCACTCCCACTCCCCCCCCTCTCTCTCTCACTCTCACTCCCACTCCCATTCCCACTCCTACGCTCTCTCTCTCTCTCTCTCTCTCTCTCTCTCTCTCTATATATATATATATATATATATATATATATATATATATATATATATATCGCTCTCTTTCTCTTTATCTCGTTCTCTCTCTCCCTATCCCTATCCCTCTGCCCGCCTATCTACATCAGTCAACATCTACCCCCCCCCCTGCAGCCGCCGTCCTTGCACCCGCAGCAGCGACCCCCACAGACTGACTAACCCTCAGCTTTCCATTGTTCTTTGTGAGCGGGGAGTGTCTCTCTCTCTTTCTCTCTCCATCTCTCTCCGTCGGCTTTTCATCACAGCTTTCATTTTAACTGTTTTCTAAGCCCGGATGGTACGTGTTTCACTTTCCCTGGCCATCGTATTGTTAGAACGGCCCCGGACTGGAATAAGATGGCCGCCGCTCGCGTTTTCGAATATTTTTTAATGAGAGATTCTGTTATTTTGGACTTTTGGACTTTTTGTGTGTCTCCACGGGGGCGGAGGAAGTCTTTGTTCTTTAGTCTTGCTGTTCTCGATTTTTAATTAGGTCAGCGTCGTTTTATATGCGAGGTTTGTGCCTGAGGGAAATGTGTACTAAGGATAAGCCCGATTCATAATCAATAGGTAAGCGACTCGACGCGGTTCGCACTTTCGAAGTCAGTCATTGTGAAACCCTAGAGTAAATGTTTTTGTGGTTCCATTTCCCTCTAAAATTAATTGTAAAATTTTATAATCAGTTTTTTTTTCTGTCGTGTCTGTATTTTCTTCATTATCTATATTCGCCTCTGAAATAGCAACCCGTAAAAAACGAGTGATTTAACGTTTTTTTATTGCCAATTACGGAAACACAGAGTCATGCTGACAACCAAGTTTCTGCGCTCGCGTGCGTGTTCATTACAAGAGTTTGCAAAGTAAACAGCTTTAATGCCTGGAACACGAAGCCCCAGGGACGCTATACTGCAACTGGACTTCATTTCGTGATTTTTTCCTCTCTTTCTCTCTCTTTCTGTCGCGGTCGCTGCGCAGCGTGACGGTCGGCTGGCCGCACGTGACGTCACGCCGGTAGTGATACGTCCGTGACAGGCGGGAAGGCGCGTGAGGGGAACGGGCGATTTCGTAATGATTTCGTTGATTAGAATGATTGTAGTCGGAGTCTTAGGGGGTTGCGAAGGGATAATGAAATTGCTAATGAGAGTATATTTGTTCATTAAGCAACTAAACTTATATTGTTTGTACAACTGTTAGGTAGTATTCTTATAAGTTTCTTTATAATTGCTGTTGCTCTTGTCATTAATTTTATAATCAACATTGACGTCGTTATTACTTCCGCCGAAAAAAGACATTGTATGTTGCTGACGTTTAACTGGCTTAGGTCAAGATTGCATTTGACCGATGGATTTTACTGCAAATATATAGGCGGTTTTGCCTTGGCCCAGAGACTCGGTTACATCTTAACGGCTAACCGGATCCTTACAGGAATCTAGGATTAAATGAAAAAGTTGGTGCTGGCGCAATGCGTCATAGGCAATGAGTTCTGCAAGGAAATTAATTTTCTCTTAAAGTGTTGCAGTGTACTTATGTATTTGGAAACCAGAATTATAGGTGTCGGCTAAAGTTACGCTCCCTTAGTACTTTCTAGATATTATCAATTTTATTATTTTATGTCTTTTGTTTTGGTTGTAATTATCACCATGGCTATGATTACCCTATTATTTCTAATACTTTATTTCTATAAATGTTATTATTTTTTTCCAGATTTTATTATATTTTCATTGTTACTCAACTATGATTACCATGTTCAGAGTTATCTCTGCGCTCAGGACTGTCGGCTGCTTGCCTGGAAGGCAGCAGACACAAAACAGTCTTTCCCTATCATCGGCCTACGTAACCTCTGCCCACATTGCCACGCCTGACCCCCTTCCCTTCCCGCAG